GATACAATGACATGAGCGTGTTACCGTTCAGATTTGAGGATATAGCTGACAGAGGGAAGTCAGCAAATGAACTCTGCGACGATTTTCCAACCTAGAGCGTCAACCTGAGAAGGGTTGTAGGTGTACTGCTGTAAGTCCTACATTGAGCAGTCCAATGTGCTTGCTGTGTGATTTTGTACATACGTTCATGTTGTATATACTGAATTGATATCATCTTTCATCTGTCTGTTGATAATTCTGTTTGTGTCTGGACGTCTTTCCACTTGGATCGTCAACCTGAGAAGTAATTTAGGCGTACTGTTGTAAGTCCTACAGTTCTTCAAGGGTGGTTCGTGAAGGTAGAATCCACCACTTTGATGTGTTGATTGTACATATGTTTGTGTTAAATAATTGTGTGAGTTCCAATTATTGTAATCGTTGGTTAATCTTGTTTGTGTCCGGACATTCCACAACTTACAATCGTCAACCTGAGAAGGGTTGAAGGCGTACTGCTGTATGTCCTGCGATTCTTCAAAGGAATTCCTTCAAGATATGATCCGCGACTTTGTGTGTACTGTCTACATATATGTGTGGTGTGTCATATCAATTGGTGTTTTTTTGGATTCATTCTGTTTACTCGTTGTTTTCGTATCTTGTTTTTATTGCGTAATTTTGTTAAAATTTTCGTCGTGATTACTTCTGAAGTTGTTCCGTGTCTTCTACATCCATGAATGAATTGATTGATGTTAAGGTCAGCAGATGGGTCGTGTACGCCAAGGAGGCTAGGCTATTTCTGAGAATGAAATGCACACGGAGGTAATTGTTATCTGTGGTCCGACACGCCGGGGAGAAAGAGTGTAAACGACTGAGGCTCGCATGCGTCACCGCTACTAGAACTGAGGCAGAATGAGTGACAAGCGATTGCAGTGGTAATTGGTAGTGAGTAGATAAGAGGATGTGCGTGGAGTATCATGAGTTGGTGCTATGGTCACGTTGCATTCTGCAATTGTCATTCTAGCAAGTGGCGATTGTGTTGCAAGATGTCAAGAGGAGGTCTCTGTCTGGAGGCGCAGGTCGTCATTGATGTGTGAGATTGTGCTGTGGGTATGCTTGTGGTGTGTTGGCTTTTCTGTTTGTTTTCCATTTCAGCTCTGTCCGTGTGACCCAGGTTCTCGCAATGGCATCCAAGTCAACGTGTATTGGTCGTGATGGATAAAAGGGATGGATCTGTATTTTGCCGGGGAGTGTCAATGGAGTTGAAGATTGAACGATCAATTCTTGGTTGTTTGCTCAAAATCAACTTCCCCAATTTTCGCGGAGACATCGATACATCAGTCATCGTCTCATCGGTCGCTGTTCAGAAAGAAGAGTAAAACATCGTCGGAAGTAATATTATGATTTATTATTGTAATATTTGTTCACAGACCTTAGTTCAACTAGTATTTTTATATGTTGGTGTAACAATAAAGAATACTCAAGCGGCCAATCGATGTTTTGGTTTTTTCGTGCGTTATTACTAAGCGTTTCTGAAACTTCAAGGAACAGCGTGGGCCCGAGCGTAGCAAGAGCTGGGCATTAACGGTTTACGAGACGTGGCCGACAAAATCGTTAATGGTTTTTTCACCTTGGTGGGTCATATCAACTGGTGTTTTTGGATTCGTTGTTTTTAGTTGTTGTTTTCGTACCTTCTTGTTGTGCATAATTTTGTTAAAATTTTCGTCGTGCTTACTTCTGAAGTTGTTTCGAGCCTTCTACATCCGTGAATGAATTGATTGATGTTAAAGACAGCAGATGGGTTGTATACGCCGAGAGGCTAGCGCTGAGAATGGCATTCACACAGAAATAAGTATTAGCTGTGGAGTCAATGGTTGAGAATGAATGTTACTATTAAGGCTGCGGTCCCACACGCCAGGGAGCGAGAGTGTATACGGCTGAGGCTTGCATACGTCACCGTTACTAAAACTGAGACAGAATGAGTGACAAGCGATTACAGTGGTAATTGGTAATGAATAGATAAGAGGATGTGTGAAGAGTGTCATGAGGTGCTGCTATAGTCACGTTGCGTTCTGCAAGAGTCATTCTAGCAAGTGGCGATTGTGTTGCAAGATGTCAAAGGGATGCGATTAGCTGGAGGGCGTAGGTTGTCGTCGATGAGTGAGACTGTGCTGTGGGTATGCTTGTAGTGTGTTGGCTTTGCTGTTTGTTTACCGTTTCAGATTTGTCCACGTGATCCAGGTTCTCGCACTGGCATCCAAGTCAATGTCTATTGGTCGTGATGGAAAGAATGGATGGATCCCTTCTTTCCCGACGAGTGTCAATGTAGTCGAAGATTGAACGTTCAATTCATGGTTGTTTGCTCAAAACCCAAATTCCCATATTTTTCGCGAGTGTTATCCATCCATTATTCATCGTCTCATCGTTCGCTCTCCGTTGGAGGAGATGAAACTGTCGGAAACCTTGTGTATGGTAGGCTTATTTTTGTTTGTTTATTGGCGTAAGTATAAAGGATTCTTGGGTCGCCAATTGGTGTTTTGGTTTTTTGCGGTGGTTATTACAATGTGTTTCTGAATATCTGAATGTCTTCCAAGGACAGCAAGAGGTCCAGCGTAGTAAGAGCTGGACATTGACAGTTTATGAGAGTTAGCTGACACATAATTGGAACTAGGGAACCCGTGCAAAGTGAGAGTCAGAAGTGACAGGAGGTCACTTCAGACTGGCCTTGTCTAAACACTGCCGACGATCTCCAAAAGCTTGTTTTGATTAATGTCGTAAATAAAACCAACCAACTAGGGGGCAAGCGCCTCATTTGGTCCAAGTGGTCAGTACCCTACTAGTCTGGAGATGGCTGAAACATATATTTTAGGCTTGCCAAACAGTTAAACAGCAATGTAGGTATTACCGGTACGGACTGAAATTGCGACACTACTATTTCACTGGAGGAGGTCTTAGTGGCTGCTCTCCAAATCAACCCAGCAATAGTACGAAGGAAGCTACAGAGACTCACAACAGGAAGGTACCCAGGCTACAACGACATCAAGTCATCTGTTCTGAAACGGTGCGCCAAAGCTCCCTGTAGGCCCTTATGTGACTTGTTCCAACACTCGATGGATTCGGAGAGAATGGCAAGGGAGTCGTAAAGAGCAATCCTTTATCCGGTCTTCGGAAGTGGGGATAGGCAAAATACCACTGGTTATAAACCAGTAGCCCTAATCTCAGTGGTATCAAATGTACTGGAGAGTATTATTGATGATAGCATGAGGGAGCACGTCGATAGAACTCATAGATTCCACTAAGCCAAACACGTTTTAAGGAGAGGCAGATCCTGTGAAACAAACGTAATATCAGCTTGGGGGAGGGGGTTGGAAAGCATACTGGGATATGAATGTTCCAGTCCATGTGGTCTTCTTAGACTTTGAGAAGGCATTTGACGCAGTTCAACATGACCTTCTCCTAGACAAAATAAGTCATACAGGTATAGGTAAGCCACTTCTGCCATGGTCAGTCTAGTTCGATCATCTTGACACAGCTCGTTATCAGAAGTGTTGCAGGGTTCTATCCTAGGACCACTGATGTTTTTGGTTTTTATCAATAACCTTCCATGTTATCTAAACTTATCTACTCCTCTACCCACTGACTACGTAAAGATGTGGAGAGCAGTAAAGTATGAGGGAGACTCAGATGGGCTGCAGGTGGATCTAAAGCTTCTGGAAGACTGGGAGGTGGCCAACGGCATGACTTTCAACCTGAAATAGTGCAAAGTAGTGAATTAAACACCTGTAGGCTGCGGAATGCAAGTTATACCCTGTGAAATGAAAGCTTGTACTCACAACACCGGAGCGCGGCTTAGGTCTATTTCTGACGGAAAAATGGACACAAGCGTAAATTACACGGGGAACGTAGCGAGGGCATATGCGGTATACACTTTACACATAGACAGTTAAGAGCACTCACTCCTGAGCTCTTTCTAAGGTTGTACAAAACATACTCCGGACCACACCTTGAAGTGAATAATATCTTCGCAACCCCGCTGGTCAGGAAAGACGCGAAACTTTTGGAAAGAGTCCAAAGACAGGCGAAAAAATGACAGGTTGGTCTCCGAAATAAACCATATGATGAAAGGCTAAGGAAGTTAGGCCCGCTGACAATTAGCTGCTGTCGGCTTAGGTGAGATTTGATTACTGCCTACAAGATAATAAATGGACAGAACCACCCAAACAAAGGTGTTCTGCCTTAGAGTAGGTATTGGCTTCCTCGTGGAAATCTCAGAAGGATAGCCCACCAGAGGGCAAGGACCTGGGTGCATTCCAACTTCTTTTCACTGCGGGTTCGCCCTCCCTGGAACTCATTACTGGCAGATATAGCTATGGCACCGTCCTTGGACACTTTTAGGTGAGGGCTGGACAATCATGCGGCGACACTAGGACTACGTTCAAATGGCTTATCCCCTTAAAATCCCATACACCATTCAAGGGTAGACAACTAAGTTCGTCGTTATACTTCTTTGCATTCTCTCTCGTCTTACTCTCCTGACAACTCCAACTACTACACTTGTTATTATTATTGATGTAATATATGTGTAAACTCCAAATTTAATTAGCTCTCCTTTTTAACGTTTTTCTTTATTCCTTTTCTGTCTTTGAGTCTGAATAACCTACACTAATTATATCTATTATTATTTCTTTCTTTTGAAGACGATACCGGAGGACTAATTGGTGAAAGGATCAACTCCATTCACAGTGGTAACACTCTTAACACAACTCATACTAAAAACAATATATAATTAATCCCAGCACTACTACTTTTGGAGTCAACCCAAGCTGACAGTCGAGTGGTGGGACGATCTTTGCGTAAGTTTATCGAAGATCAGGAAAATATACCTCACAATCAAGAGTTGAGCACAAAGAAATCAAACTGGTTTATACTACCTCGTAAAAACGATATTGGATATTGTCAACTTAATGTTTGTAGGAGGGAAGGTCAAGTTGTGCGCTAGACCTTCGAGGCTGGTTTGATCACAGCGGATGACGCTGAACCCTGAGAATTGCTTGACTCACAACTCAGTCGCCAAAACTTTATATGAGTCAGACTTAGATGACGAAAACTTCTCGTCAGTAGAAAATTATGGTATCAGAGAACGCAGACGTAAGCTACATACGGAAGCGGAACAACGCCGTAGGAATGCTATTAAGGTTGTTTCTCTCTATGTATGTATTATTCTTGATTCAGAGAGGTTTTGAAGGTCTTTTAGAGCTGGTTCATCCAATGAAAAGTGAATCAACTTCTAACGTGAGGATGAGCAAATCGAGTATCCTAAGTAAAGGTAAGGGTCATAATATTAATTTACTGATTACAGCAATAACAATGATTGAAAGACTTGGAAAACAAAAGCACCAAAAGCTTTCAGAGGTTGAGAGTCTGGAGAAGGAAGTCAAAGCACTTCGAATATTGTGTTTGTGAGTTAATGATATGTTCTGTAATATGGTAATAGGAATTACGAAAAGATGGTTCAAAATAATCCCGATAGTGGATGTAGAACAGTCGAGCCTATTTCAGATGAAACAAAACTCGAAGTTTTTCGCATGTTTTCTGGTGCCTTGTTCAGCTCATTTGAAGACAGAATTGCTTTCAGCTCATTCTCAGACCTTTCAGCATCAGTAATAAACTGGATCGAGGAAAGCTGCAAACCTGAAGTGAGTATTCAATCCTCCATTTTTCTATAGGCGGCTATTTTTCCTTTATATGATGTTCTATGAAAGCTTCGGTTTTTGCAAAAGTCATGGTCTGATAACCATCTCAATGTATTGACCAGACCCATGTCTAGGGAACAGAGAATGGGGGCTGGCAAAATAGCGTCCAAAATTGGCCACCGAGACTGATACCATCGTATATTGAAACACCATCTTCGCTTTGTCTGGCGACACTTTGTTGGTCCTCAAAAGTACTTATAAAGTATAGCCACTGGATATAAGCGATTCTCTAGTCAGCCATGACCAAGCACAGAGTTGCCGAATAGTTCAGGTTTCATAGGCTTAGAACAAGGCTCTACTCATTGGAGTGTTGTCAACTTGACATTTTGCAGCCAGACTGACACTGTGATAGTGCCAGAGGTGAACCAGTGGGAGCTAGTCACTTTTATTTTCCCTGTAAGGTGAATTTCCTTTGTTATATATCAGCGCCCAGAGAACTATCTAAATACGTAACGCTTTTTATTGCAAAGATGAGCATAATTTATTTAACTTAGTAATTTATTCAATTTACATATTTAAGATTTTTTAACAATTTCGCTTTTATTCCGGAAACTACTTGTGGTACAGTGTGGAATTTTCAGCACATATCTACAATATTGCATCTATTTTCATCGTACATTTAAAAGGAGTATTACAAAAAAATAAATAAAAAAACACAAAAAAGACTAAAAAAGAAACAGAAATAACAACAAAAAACGCAAATAAAAATACCAAGTAGAAAGGAAGGTAAACACCGATTATGAAAGAAAAATTTCAGTATTGGGTAGTGGAAGCTGTGATATGTGTATGGGTGGTGAACAATAACAGCTATAATCATACAATAAATTATGAGATGTTCTTAAGAATGTTTATAGCCAAGATGATCAGTTAATTTGATTGAACTACACTAAACAGTCATAAAATAAACATTACAGGTTTTTTATTTTTATTGTCAGCACTAATGCAGTGTTTGTTGTGGTAGTGTGAGTAAACCTGCATAATACAAAATTTTTAAGATGGTGATAGTGGCGTTCACAAACAAGATTGTCAGTTAAATAGTGCTAAACAAAGAACAACTGCAAAACTAATATTACATGATGGTTAATGACAGGACAATTTTGTAATATTTTTTTTTTATTATTTTTGATTTACAGCTTGATTCCACACTGTATTTTTGGTACAAGTATGGAATTTTCAGCGTGGATATCGGTAGCCCAAATTTTGCAGGCCGACCATAGATATCAAATGTGCGCCGGCGTGGGCTCGAACCCCGGACCATGTGCATGGTCGGCGAGAGTCCTAACCACTGTGCCACCGACGCACATAATCATAGTGATAATATAGTCGGACCCAGTAGATATACAAAAGAAGGAATAGAGTAAAGTAAAAAAGAGTAAGCCAATGATAATAATATTAAGTAGCTAATTATGTTTAAGAAGGCTTTTCACTATAGAGAATAAATAAGAGAGTATAAGGGGGAAATAACAAGGGCCAAAATTATGTTATTAACAACAAAGGAAGTCATAGGTTTCGTGCTTAACATTCTCTCTGTCACTTAGAACACGGGTCGAATATGGTATCGTTGAGTTCCTATACTTGGTTGTACGAGGATATATTATTTTGTACTGATTTCTGGTTCTACCTGATGAGATGCAAGGAGAGAGTTGGGAATAGAGGGGGTGTTGGGGGTCAGAGAGTATGATTTTAGTCCATTTCTCGCATGTATTCAGATGCTTATCCACTAATGTTTATTACTGGTCCAGACTGATGGTAAAAAGTGATTGTTTGCTCTCACTCTGACGTTTTTTTTCACACAGGACTTTTTAAAATCCTGACAAGCTCAAGGGTATTCATCTCTTTCTCTAGCATTTTTATTAAACAAATCCAAGGCGTCTTGTGTGTCAAAAAATAGTGTTTGTGTTCTAACAATTGGCAGAGAGTAAAAGTTCCATACAGTCCAGAATCTAAGTCATTAGCTGTTGTTACCGTGAAAGCAATGTAATACAAATAATATAAAATTGACATCTAGAGTTTGTTTTATTGAGATGCCTTTCTGATCTTTCTTACTCCTCCCTGTCTTGTCCTCATATTGTTATGTCCTCGTCAAGTTAACGATTAGTAATCTCTTGGACACTCACTTAATTCTTAATCAATTCTTCTTTATCTCCCCGTTAACATACAGATAGAATTGCTTATCATGGTACAATAAATAAAATTGCACACTGCTGGCTTTACACGTTTTTTATACGGTACTTATTATGTTCGGAATATGATTGTGAGCTATTCAGTCTCTTTAGAATGTTTAGTTAACTCCATTGTTTCTTTAGCCACTGTTGGGATATAATTCCTGAAACTGTAGAAGCCAAGTCAAAGATTAGGAATCTATGTTTATCCTCTAAGTATACCTTAAATAACATGTTCTACTCGCGGAACAGATAGTGATCTGTTTTCTATCCATTAGTTGGCTGCTGCTACTACTGGTAACAGACACATTCACGTCGTTGTGTAGTAATCATCATTTCCGACTGTCTGAGTATTTCATAGGAAATGCAAACTCATTTTATATTAAAGTTTTTGGGGATGTTTTGATTAGCAATGAAGTTCTATCTGCTATAAATGGCTATTATAGAAGTGGAATGCAAATGAAGTTACGGTAGTTTTTTAAAGATGAATGTTTTCGTGCAGTATCATTACAAATACAGATGTATGTTGATCCGTAATAGAGGTGCTTTCTAGAGTTGATTCCATTTTTTTTATAATTAAAGCAGTCTCTTTTCGTTTTAGAAAATGGCATTTGTGATGGATTCCGTTTTGGCCAGTATTTTAAATCAGAATAACGAAAGGTCTTCAGTCGGTTGTCGGACTTTCCATTTTGGTTCTGTACCAAACTACTCAGGGGGTACCAATGATGGTCAAAGTTACTGCAATTCAATGGGACCCAAACATTCCTCTGCTGGAAACTTACTTCAGATCAATCTTCTAGGCAGCGGTTCTCTAGGTTACTCGTATCCTCCGAATAACTTTCAAATACCTACTCATCCTGCTTCTGGGAGTCCTGCACTGGATTCTGAAAAGTGTGATCCTCATCTGAAACCAGTATTTCCTGTTCAGTCTCCAAATAGTTCCGTTTCGGATCAAGTAGGTATAATCCAAAGTTCGTCGGAATCGCAAGGTCTCTTTGACTTAAAGTTTCGGCGACCTGGACCAGCAGACATTTGTGCTGGTAGTGGGTTTTACAATTTTGGTCCATTTATACCTAAAAATATTAATTCTGTGGTTGATGAGTCATCTTTAAGCACTGATACAATCATAACAGACACTGTATCATCTCATAAAACGAATTCATCATGTGGCGTTGCGATTAATGACACAAACTTGTCCAAAGAATTGTCACTTCATAATTCTAGTCATATGCCGCAGTACAAACAATTCATTGATAATTTATTATGATTTTATGTTTTGCACTACCTTATTTTTTTTTCTTGATGGTAAAGTAACCTCTTTCTTTCAGTCTGTCTCACTCTGTGATACAGCTTTCAACTTAATCTCAGCTATCTTTTTTGTTTTCAAATGCAATCTGAACTATTTAACTTGTGTCAGGCTATTTTATTATTTCTTATTTTGTGTTGCAATCACTTTTTAACCATTGTCTTCCAGATTTATTTGCTTTGTAGTTAAGTGATAATTTCAACAAGAGAACCGTTAATTTTTTTGAAAAAGAGATGGGCAGGAAAACCAAATTTTACAATGCTTTTTTCCTAATAGAATGGATACTTTTGAGTTGTTGGTGTATTGAACTGTGATTTTTTCCCCCAATCAATGGTTTGCGTTTGATTGTGGAATTTGTTGCTCTTTTTAGCAGTTATTATTCACTATGACCGCCACTAAAGGATGAGGAAATGAGGCTTTTGAAGCGCACAGAATGTTCTTTTTTATATTATTTTTCATGGGATTGACGTTTTGATATTACCACCTTAGTAAGAAATATGTTTATCTCAATATTAAAAGATTTAGCTGATTTATTCTCTATTAGCACTTATGAGGTAGTTAGGTTAATGTCTTCCAACAGAGGTTCCCAAACGACACAAATCAAGCTTAGAAAGATCCGTATCGTTCATCTACTTAGGAACTTCATCATTTCTTAATTTAGCATACGTGTCATACCGTGTTCTCCTGTCTGGATTCAACATAGAAGTTGACACCGAAGTGCACCAGTTCGAGTTGCCACGTTCCAAATAGCACACAGAGGTAGACAAGAAGATGAGTGAAGAGAATCAATAGAGTTTGACAAGTATAAGAGTGAAACAGAATGGGTAATGGTAGAAAGGAATATGAAAGATTACAGAGACTGAATACATCTGCGCTGGCCATTGACAACGATTTTGAGCCATGTCACCTATTGTCTCCAGCCATTGATTCCTAGAGTCCCGAGGGCCCCAACCCGGGAGTCTGCATCTCCCTACCTGACTCAGTTTAACTGTCAAGGATTTCATGGATTGATGCCATGTTTTTGTTTGGCCACCACTGGCTCTTTTCCAACCTGAACCTATATCAGCTAGCAATGCCCGTCGGGGGAGGCGGTGGTTAGGCATGCGCAGCACGTGACCTAGCCATCTTAGTCTATGTAACTTTATAGCCTCGTCGATTGATTTTCCCTCTTTGCCCAACACTCTACGCCTAACGTCAACATTACTTACCTTATTAAACCACCTAACGTGAGACAGAGATCGCAGACATCTATGATCGAAAGCAGTCAACCTTTTCATGTCTTCAACGCGTATTGGCCATGTTTCAGAGCCATAGAGAAGGACGGAGCGAACTGATGAGCAGTACACACGTCCCTTGGTTGATAACCGGATGTCACGCCTACGCCAGAGATGGTGTAAGTCAGCGAAAGCAGCTCGAGCTTTTCGGATCCGTGCTGAGATTTCATCGCCAATCAGTCCGTTGGTGCTAATACAACTTCCCAAATAGGTGAAGTGGTCAACATGTTCTATCACTTCACTCCCTATCACTAAGTTAGGAGTTGACGTGGTCCAGTCCTGTAGCAGCATCTTACATTTTGCAGGGGCGAATCGCATGCCAAACATACGAAGATTGCTGCTCAAGGTGTTCAGAAGACTCTGCATTTTGTCAGCATCCTCCCCTAACAGGACTATGTCATCTGCATATTCTAAGTCCATAAGATTATTCCCTGGTAACAAGTCGATTCCTAAGTCATTACGTTCAGTTAAGGATACTTCCATTAGCATATCTATGATGAAGTTAAACAGAAATGGGGAAAGTGGACATCCCTGTCGGACACCACTGGTTGTTACCAATTCAGATGACAATTCCCCATAAGCCCTTACACGACTACGTGAGTTTGAATAGAGTGCCTTGATTAGTGCAATGTACTTTCTTGGCACTCCCTTCACAGTCAGACATTGCCATAGTACCTTTCGATCCACGGAGTCGAAGGCCGCCTTCAAGTCAAGAAATATGACAATTGTTGGACGCCGAAAAGTGTGTCTATGTTCTAGAATCTGTCGAAGAGTGAAGATATGATCTATGCACCCTCTACCTGGTCTAAAGCCTGCTTGATTTTCCCTTGTCTGTTCCTCCCGAGTTCTGCTTAGTCTATGCATGATTACTGAGCCTAGGATTTTAGAGACTATGTTCGTTAGGCTGATCCCCCTATGATTATCACACGAGGACTTGTTTCCCTTCTTGAATATCGGTATAATAAGTGACTTACCCCAGTCTGATGGTACTGTCTCTGATTCCCAGACTTTGCCTAGTACCTCAGTTAATCTACAAACTAGTATGTCACCCCCATATTTAAACACCTCCGGAATAATTCCGTCGGGTCCTGCCGCTTTGCCTCGTTTCAAATTACTGATAGCTTTTGTAACCTCACTTACAGACGGCGGACCAGTGTCTATATCCCATTCGGGTGTGTGGTGGATGGCGGGGAGGTTCAGTGTGGCTGTAGGCAAGTTAAATTGTTCCTCAAAGTGTTCTTTCCAGCGTTCAAGGCGTCTATCCTGAGAGCTAATTAAGGAGCCATTTTTCTCAGAAATAGTCTCACTTATGAATTGCCTTTTCCCACCCGTTTCCCTGATGAGTCTAAAGAGTTGCCTAGTGTTGCCTATCGCCGATGCTTTTTCCATCTCTTTTGCCTTTGTCACCCACCACTGTTCACGGTCCTTGCGGAGACTTTTAGTAAGTTTCCTTTTGTGCAGCTTTCGCTCCTCATTGAATTCGGAGCTCGCCGGAATAAGTCTTCTAGCATCTATCAGTTCGGATGAGGCAGTCGAAATCCAGTGGTTTTTACTCACCTTTGGATTTGCCTTATTCACAGCTTTTACAGCTGTATCTATAGCTGACTGAATATTCTTCCAGGCTTCTCCAGGGTGAGCACAGCTGTCGAATTCAGATATGCGTTTAGCTAGTTCTTCCTCAAATAGGGATTTAGTTTCCTGATCGAGCTGGGGACGTGATGGTTTTACCGCCAGCTGTTTCCTACGTCCGTTCAGTCGTAAGCACACACGAGCCCGGACCAGTGCGTGATCGGTATCTACACACGTGTTCCAGAAGGAGCGACAATCTCCTACCGACCCACGCCAACGATAGCTTATTGCTATGTGGTCTATTTGTGTCCAGCGTTGGTTTGATGATGGGGGTCGCCAGGTTAAACAGTGTCTCTCCTTGTGTTTAAAGTTAGTGCTTACAAGAAACAAATGATTATCTGAACAGAACTGTAGGAGACGGTCACCGTTGTCGGTTCGCTGGCACGGAACTCCATAGGTGCCACCGACATCCTTCTCAGATTGACACAATTTCCCTACTTGAGCGTTAAAGTCACCAGCTAGAACGACTATATCTGAGCGTTTAGCCTTTCTCACCAAACTAGACAGCTTTTGGTAGAACTCATCCTTCGTTTCATCCGAACTGCAGTCAGTGGGGGCGTAGGCGGAGATTACGAAAAGGCATCGGCGAGTAGTGCAGTCCTTTCTCCTTCTTACTGATCCGTTCAGACGGACAGCACACATTCGGCTATCTACCGGGATCCAGTCAAGCAATGTCTTTTCTGCCCTAGTACTCAAAGCTATCCCTACGCCAGCTAATCCTCGTGAACTAGCTGTGGCATCTCCTGACACCCTCAAGGTGAATTTTGAAGATTCATCCTGTTGGCCAGGTGGGGTTAGGTGAATAACCACACTTGGGTCTTGTATGCGTGTTTCTGAAACACAACATACATCAATGGCTCGGGATGCCAGGGTCTTAGCTAGTGATGCTTGTTGTCCTATTTGGCAAAGTGTCCTAACATTAAATGCTCCTATATGAAATTGGTGGCGTGGCTTTAGGAGACTATCCGGGTGGTTTTTTGGCTTCCGTCGTTTTTAGTGGACACAGAGTGAAGAGGGAGTGAGGAGCCATCAAGTAGAGGAGTTGCATCAGTGGGAGGAAGGCAAGGTAATAGAGATGAAGATGAAGACAAAGATAAGTGAGGATTAGAGAGGTTTTGTGTGCATTTCGGATTGTGAGGGCGTTTGTTACTTCCCGGCTGCCCACACCGTGGAAGTTGGTTGCGTGACCGCAGAGCCCAGGGGACAACTGCTTGAGGCCGGTCACACGCGGCCTGTTTTTGTTCGTTCTCTTTTGTTTGGTGTGCCTCAGTAGCATACTTATCACTCCTGCCCTGTGACACGGCAGCAGGAAGCGCGGTCGTTGTTAATCCGGGCCACGGCCGATCCGGCATGAAATTTTGTGAATTTGTTTGAATCATGGTATTGGATGGGGTAGCTGCTTTTTGTTTAACCGCTATCCAAACAACCTGCCTGGCATGGTAGAACCTCAAGAGACATAAGTCTCAGCCAGTATAGCTTGATTAGGTCATTGCGGTGTTCAAGCCCGACCACCACGTCAAGGTAGCAGCTTTCGGTCGGGATACCGTGTTACTGAACAACAGGTCACACATTACGGTGGGATTCCAGAGTTTTTATCTTGATGCAAAATGAATGGTGGATAGATTTGGTTGGTGTTCTGGAAAACTCCTTCACTGATATACGTCTGAAGATGCTGTCTAGAAGAATATTGAATGGTTTGTTATATTATAGCGTTCAGCTTAGTGAATACAGCCATCGTGATGACTGATCGATGAACTGTGATCAAAGCTTACTTTTTGAGACTAAGCATTTTTCCAATGCTATCTGGTTTTTCATAGTTTTCTGGTTGATGTCAATTGGTGACAAAACTGTCTGGAAATCAATCGACGACCTACATTATACCCTGTAAATGGATTTAGTCATGTAGATATAAGGAATTTTCATATTACTGAACATTAAGTTTTCAAGGCTATTTTAATTAGCTCTAGTTAAACATTTTCTTTTACCCATAATGATGTTAGCAAGGGATCAATAAAATCCCGTCTACCCTCTTCAAATCCTATAGTTTCGAGTAGTTTA